GAGGCTTCATCTAATCCTCAGACACAACTATTTTAACGCAACAAAATCAGTTTTCACCATTTTAGTAAATTGTAAAGGTCTGAAAAAAAAAGTGACATCTGTGGTGTTACGGGAGAGAATAGTGGCTGTTTTATGCATCACTTACAAGCTGTAGGCTGTTCTGTGGATCAAATATGGCTCAGTGTGTCCCACAACACACACACACACACGCATACACACACACACACACACACACACACACACACACACACAGAGTCAGAAGGAGCCGGAAGAGCCTCCTGGAGAACTTTCTATTTGGAACGCGGTGGCTACAGCGTTAGTTATGTCCATTCATATATACGTCTGTGGATGAGGTTCAGTATGACCCTGAACAAGAGCACACATGTGGTGAGGAGAACCCAGATGTCACAAAGACTGAAAGAGACGTCTTCAAGTCAAGAAAAAGTGACAGTTCATGGTCACCAAGCCTCTTGACACCCAATATAATTATACTTATATAAATTAGATTTATATTATATGTATTATATATATAAATTATTATGATTATAGTATAATTATATAATATAATTACAAATTTTATCACTATAGGAAATATAATTAGTGAATTTAAGCAGTTTTTGTAATAAAAACGAGTGGTATATTTTAAGATAAAAGGTCTGTGCAGCCAAAAAAAAATAAAAAAAATAAAAATGTTTCCATGGACATGAACACATACTAAGTTAGTTATGAGGGGAAAAACAATATTGGATGATATCTAGTGTTTTTAAGTATTTTCAGGCTGAGTTAAATCACGGGTCAAATTTGACCCGGTAACACTAAAGACGTGTGTAGCTTTCTAACACAATACAAGGGTTAATATAGTTTTGTACGACACGTTTATATTTTCATTATTCTAAATGCTTGATTAGTTGAAGCTTGAGTGGAGCGAGGATCACGAGAGCCTTTACATGCCGAGGTAAAATTCTTTGTAGTGTAGAAGTTTCTGGACATTTTTATTGAAAACTCGGTTGAACTGAATTGATATTGAGATATCAGGAAGTGTTTTTAGCTTTATTGCCATGCCAAAACTCCACTCTGGTCTGTGAGAGTTGTGAAAAGTGCTTATAAACTCATCACGGTGAATAACTGGGACGTTCTGAATGCATAAAATAAGCGACGAAGAACTTTGGATCACTAAAAACTCTTTACAACCAGCAAGTTCTGTTTTTTGTGTTTTTAAGACGGTAAAAAAATCAGGAAGAGCACTTTTAGGCTTAAAGGGTCTATATTACCACACTATTTTCTGATATAATGCTGCACAAAAAAACATATCTAAGTAAGTTAAAATGACTTAAATTAAGAACATTTTACTTTATTTGAGTAAAATTATCCACCAATAAAATAAAAGTGTTTTTTCTTAACTCAAGCAGCATTTGATTTTATGTCTTATTTTAAGCTCAAAGAGTTGTTGTTTTTCTTATTTTAAGTGCAGCAAGATGTATTTTCATATTTTAAACACAAAAAGTCTTGTTCCACTGGCAGATTATTTTACTTGTCAAGTGAAATTTACTCAAATCGTGATAAAACTTTCTTGAGATTTGAGTTTTTGAGGTGTTTTCTCGTCAAACAACAGACCTGGAGTTGTGTTTTGCTTCATTCACACTCGTTTAACACACAAACCCTGCAGATTTATTTAAGCTGAGTTCTTCTCTTAAACAGAAAACACTCAGTTCCACCTTGTGATGTCATGTGGTGATACAATGAGTGCGTTTACATGCACATCAATATTATTATTAGAAACCGAGTTACTGTATCTGGTTTATTCCGATAGTAACCGGGTTACTTGTGGCATGTAAACGCAGTATCCCGGTTACTGCAACATAAAGTTGAGTGCGCATGCGTCCAAAAGACACTTTCCAGCCTTTCACCACAACAGTAGCGACATAAATAAATTATCCAACATAAATAAAGTGACCAAACGAGTGAAATGACTGTAAAATAAAGAGCTGCGCTAAACCTGCACACGTACAATCTGCACTCGTACGACCTGCACTCGTGTGACGCTGAAAAGCTAAAACATGAACTATCTCCTATACTCTATACGCACGGAACACACTTACCATCATTAGCACCTCTTCTGTCACAGAAATAACACACATAATCCACAGAGTCGTGTCATTTAGTCCAAAAGAAACTGATCGCATCAGCGGCGCAAGGAGCGAGTTGTTTTTATCGCCGCTAACAGTTTATGCTAATTAGCCAAACGGTCTTAAGTTTCGTTTCTGTAAAACGTAAACAAATGTGATCACAGCTGAATGATCTGATCAAACGGGCTGATGTGTCTATAGTGTTTATGGTTTATATGTTGTAAAGTTGAGTTTATTTATGCAGAAGATTTTAATGAAGAATCTGCGCAGTGGATTGTGGGAGATCTCGTAGCTCCTTAGCTTCTTATGCTAAAGGAGCTCACGGTTTGTATTTTTCCTGGTTTATGAAATTGATTTAAGTTAATTTTTGCACCTGCGCATTTGTAAGATTATGTCAAGAAACCGGGACACTCCATTTGATCATGTACACGCGGATATGAGTGTCCCTGTTTCTCAGTGTGCATGTAAACACAGTAACACAAATACTGACAGAACCGGGATATGGACAATAACCGGGTTATTGATGTGCATGTATACACACTCAATGACTTCTTCATTAGAATCATTTGGATCATTTCAGCCCCACACTGAACTAAAGGTAAAAGACACGAGGTGGAGCAGAGCGTTTTGAGCTTTGGAAATGTAGACAGACTAATAAAAGAGTTACTCAGACACGTGTGAACGAAACAAAACACAAATCCAGGTTTGTTTTCGAGGAAGTCACGGCGTTAAAAGACGACTTAAAGCTCACGTGAGTCAGTTTAGTGTAACTTCTATAAATAGACACAGGGACTTTTGTGGATAAAACAAAATGAACGAGGCGTGACGACGCTGATCCTGATCCGTCATTATCTCCACTCCCTCTCTTATTCAAACACCGTGACTAGATTATTTACATTTCAAATTCAACCAAAGCACAAAAGACGACAATACAAAAAAACCTGATGTTGGCAGTTTTTGGTTAAGTTTGTCTGAAAATAATCGACACTAAAACTAATATTTCAGACGTGTTTTTACATTTCTGGATTATTTTCTTTGTTGTTAATCTGTTTTTAATGTGCTTTTCTTTACATACTGTAACGTGAAGTAATAATATCTCCATGGAGACAAGCAGGAGGCGGACCCTTCAGTACGGGAAAGTTACGTAAGTGTGGCTTTAAATGAATGAACAGAAGTGAAAACTGAACTGAAGTCACAGAGTAAAGACAGAAACTCTGAAATGATGTAAATGATGATCAGAGAGAGAAAGAGAGAGAGAGAGAGAAAGAGGCAAGGTGATAGAGAGAGATGGGGGGGGTAAAAGAGAGAGAGGGAGAGTATGAGGTAATGAGGGAGAAAGAGAGAGAGGGAGAGACAGAGAGATAAAGAGAGAGGGAGTCAGAGAGGGGGAGAGAGACTGAGAGAGCGGGAGATAAGGGAAAGAAAAACAAATAGAGACAGAGAGAAAGAGGGAGAGAGGGTGGGAGACAGGGGGAAAGAGAGAGAGAAGGACAGGGAGGGAGAGAGTTGATCGGTTTGAGGAGAACGAGAGAGAGACAGAGAGGAAATGTGAGAATGAGAGAGAGAGAGAGAGAGGGAGGGAGAAAGAGAGAGAGACAGAGAGAGGAAGATAGGTAAAGAAAAACAAACAGAGACAGAGAGAAAGAGAGAGAGAGAGAGAGAGAGAAAGAGGGAGGGAGAGAGGGGCAAGAGACAGAGAGAAAGAGAGGGAGATGAGAAAGAAAAACAAAGAGACAGAGAGAGAGAGGGAGAGAGGGGGGCAAGAAAAACGGGGGAGCAGAGAGAGAGAGATGGAGATAGGGAAAGAAAAACAAAGAGAGAGACATAGAGAGAATGAGAGAAACAGAGAGGGAGACACAGAGTGAGAGAGAGAGAGACAGAGGTAGATAGGGAGAGAAAGAGACAGAGAAAGAGAGAGGAACAGAAAAGGTGAGAGAGAAGGAAGGTGAGAGAGAAAGACAGAGGGGGAAGTAAGAGAGAGGGAAGATTAGTGAGAGAGTGTGTGACTGAGAGAGAGAAAAACAGGGAGGGAGAGAGTTGATCGGTTTGAGGAGAACGAGAGAGAGACAGAGAGGAAATGTGAGAATGAGAGAGAGAGAGAGAGAGAGGGAGAAGAGAGAGAGAGAGAGAGAGAGAGAGGGACAGAGACAGAGAGGAAGATAGGTAAAGAAAAACAAACAGAGACAGAGAGAAAGGGAGAGAGAGAGAAAAGAGGGAGGGAGAGAGGGGCAAGAGACAGAGAGAAAGAGAGGGAGATGAGAAAGAAAACAAAGAGACAGAGAGAGAGAGAGGGAGAGAGGGGGGCAAGAAAAACGGGGGAGCAGAGAGAGAGAGGTGGAGATAGGGAAAGAAAAACAAAGAGAGAGACACAGAGAGAATGAGAGAAACAGAGAGGGAGACACAGAGTGAGAGAGAGAGAGAGAGAGAAAGAGAGAGAGAAGAGAAGGAAGGTGAGAGAGAAAGACAGAGGGGGAAGTAAAAGAGAGAGAGAGAGAGGGAAGATTAGTGAGAGAGTGTGTGAAAAACAGGGAGGGAGAGAGTTTGAGGAGAGAGAGAGAGAGACAGACAGAGAGGAAACGAGAGAGAGGAAGACGAGGGAGTGTATGTATGTAAAAGAAATGGAGTGAGAAGGAGAGAGAGGAAGAGAGAGAGAAAGAGAGTTAGAAAAAGAGAGAAGTGGACGAGCAGGTATAGAAGGAATGCTGCCTCTCCACTCCTTTACTCTTTCTCTCTCTCTCTCTCTTTACTCACTCACTCACACAAACACACTCACACACACACACACATGCTCTCCTCCTCCTCTTCCTCTCCTCCCTCTCTCCTCCCTCTCTCTCTCTCTCTTCTCTTCTCTTCTCTTTCTTCTTTTCTCTTCTCCGTCTTTTACTCCGTGACCCAAACACGACCAGAGCTCAAACCGACTCACATGGAGCAGCTCTAAACACACACAGTAAGTACAACATTTCCCACTTTTTCCTGTCACTTTGTTTTCATTTTTCAAGTAGTTTTTGGAATATTTGCGTGTGATTCGACTTTTTGAATGATTTTTAACAAGTTTTCACCACGTTTTGTTTCATTTTTTGCTTTAAATTTCACCCGAAGCCTTAAAATACACGATTGCGAAGCTGCCACAGTTTAAACAAAACTTAACGGCAGATGATTTTGTTCTTTTTTAATTGCGTTTCATCGACGTGTTTTTGATTTCTTGTCAAATTGTTAAAAATTTTGAAAACTCTTTTTGAACTTAAAAGTTTTAAATTACGCAAAACTGACTCTTGTGAGGTTTTAGTCGTGTTATAATATCATTACGTGATCAAAAACACACCTGTAATTGCGGTTTGTTTCATTAATGTGTTTGCGTAACCGTTTATTATGAGTCTGTCTACATTTCCCCAGCTCAGAATGCTCTGTTCCACCTTGTGATGTCATGAAGAGGTCGTTTTCAAGCTCCTTTTTGTATGTTTTGTTCAGTAGAGATCGGAAATTCCAGGGCTGAAATTGTCCAAATGATTCTAGTGAAGGTGTGTGGAGTTTAAAAACGCAGTGGAGCCCTTCCTGTGTTCGAGATTTGTGTGTGAATGAAACAAAACACAACTCCAGATCAGAAAATTGCAAAATATCGGTTCTTTAAAGTGTAATTTTTGACACAGATTTGAGGACGGTGCTTCACAGAATAAGACTCTCGTTTGTTTTTATTTTATTTTCTTACGTTCTGTTCACGTTTGACCCATTTCGTGAGCGCTCTCGGGTGATTGACAGCTCTCAGACTTGTCGTTTCTCACCCGTATCAGTTCGTGCGAGTCCCGGTCTGCGATTGGTTGTTTTCCGTTGTTCTGTGACGTCGTGACTCTGCGAAAAAAAAAACTCCCGTCCGTCCACATTCCTGTCGCTCTCGTTTAAATGAATGAGCTCCACCCTCACACGTCTGGAGCTCTGTGTTTACGGATCAGGTCGTGTACAGGCAGCTCTGAGGGTAGACGAGGCACCGCTGACTTCCCTCTCCCCAGACACCTGCTCTTTGTGTCTTTGTGCTCTTAAACAGATTTAGATTTAGATTAATTTATTGTCACTGTATGAAATACAACGAAACTTCAACAGAGCAGATCTGTAGCAGTAAAAATGAACAAATATACACACATCCTCACATCCATACCAATAAAAAACATTTAATAAATAAAATAAATCGATTATTGCACCGAGTCCCTTCAGGTCTTTTATCTGGGCCTGTGCCCCTGGAGCTCGTCCACTGCTCGTGGGTAGAAGCTGCTGCTCAGTCTGTTTGTGCGTGTGAGGGGAGTTTGAAGTCTTCCTGAGGGGAGAGTGTGGAAGAGGCAGTTCCCGGGGTGTGTGGGTCCTGCAGAATGTTGGAGGCCCGTGTGTGGAGACGTGAAGAGTAGATGGTGTCCAGGTTCAAGAGTGAGGAGCCCACCACCTTTTCAGCTGTTCTCACCACTCGCTGCAGGTCCTTCTTTTCGGCAGCTGTGCAGGCTCCGTACTGTGATGTGCAGCAGTACGTCAGAACACTTTCGATGGTGCACCGGTAAAAGTTGGTTAGGAGGAGTTGGTTAGATCCTCACTGATCTCCACACCCAGGAACTTAAAGTTGGAGACCCTCTCTACCTCTTCTCCGTTGATGCAGAGGCCAATGTGATGGGGAATGCATTAGTTTTTTCCTAAAATCAATTATAATTTCTTTAGTTTTCTTTGTATTTAAGTGCAGGTCATTGTCTTTGCACCAGGAGATCAGTGTCAGGACCTCCTCCCTGTAAGCAGCTTCATCACTGTTTGTTATGAGCCCCACAATAGTTGTGTCATCAGCAAATTTGATGAGAGTGTTGGAGTTATGATGTGCTCCGCAGTCATATGTGAAGAGGGAGTGGAGAGCTGGACTCAGGACGCAGCCCTGAGGCAGACCTGTGCTCACAGTGATGGTGGAGACAAATGCTGGTCAATTCTGACGTGCTGTTGGTCAGGAAGTTCTTTATCCAGAGACACAAGAGGAGTGAGAGGCCAAGAGTGAGCCAAAACAGGCTTTAAAGGTCCTGTATTACACAAAATTGACTCTTGTGAGCTTTAAGTCGTGTTAGAATAATGTTACCTCCTCAAAAACAGACCTGGAGTTGTCCATCCATCCATCCGTTCTTGTTTTTAAGAGCAGGCTCAAGTCCCACCTTTTTAGCTCAGCTTTTGAATGAAATCTTATACTTTTACTTGTTTTTATTGTCAGTGTTGGGAAGGTGACTTTTAAAATGTAATCCCCTACAGATTACAGATTACATACCCAAAATGTAGTTTGTAACAGAATCCATTAAATTACTTAAAGTGAGTAATGTAATCTGAATACTTTGGATTACTTGATTTGTTGTCTGCTGATCTTCACATAAGATGTTTTATCTGCTAAAAGAAAATGAAAATCCCAGACTTTACTGAACCGTATTAATAATATTATTGATAGAAGACGAAGAGACAGTCCACACAGTATGATTTAGTCCTGTTAAATCCTGGTTTAGTCCTGGTTTAGACCTGGTTTAGACCTGGTTTTAGACCTGGTTTTAGTCCTGGTTTAGACCTAGTTTTAGACCTGGTTTTAGACCTGGTTTAGACCTAGTTTAGACCTGGTTTAGACCTGGTTTTAGACCTGGTTTTAGACCTGGTTTTAGACCTGGTTTTAGACCTGGTTTTAGACCTGGTTTGGACCTGGTTTTAGACCTGGTTTAGACCTAGGTTTAGACCAGGTTTTAGACCTGGTTTTAGACCTGGTTTTAGACCTGGTTTAGACCTGGTTTTTAGACCTGGTTTTTAGACCTGGTTTGGACCTGGTTTGGACCTGGTTTAGACCTGGTTTAGACCTGGTTTTAGACCTGGTTTTAGACCTGGTTTGGACCTGGTTTGGACCTGGTTTTAGACCTGGTTTTAGACCTGGTTAGACCTGTTTTAGAGACCTGGTTTGGACCTGGTTTACCTGTTTTAGACCTGGTTTTAGTCCTGGTTTTAGTCCTGGTTTAGACCTGGTTTAGACCTGGTTTTAGACCTGGTTTTAGACCTGGTTTTAGACCTGGTTTTAGACCTGGTTTAGACCTGGTTTAGACCTGGTTTTAGACCTGGTTTAGACCTGGTTTAGACCTGGTTTTAGACCTGGTTTTAGACCTGGTTTTAGACCTGGTTTTAGAACCTGGTTTGGACCTGGTTTTAGACCTGGTTTTAGACCTGGTTTAGACCTGGTTTTAGACCTGGTTTTAGACCTGGTTTTAGACCTGGTTTTAGACCTGGTTTGGACCTGGTTTTAGACCTGGTTTGGACCTGGTTTGGACCTGGCTTTAGTCCAAAAAAAAAAAAAAAAAAAAAAAGGGATTTAGCCCAAAATGTAAAAACAGGAAATTACCTCTGTGTAATCCATTTATTTCAACAAAGTAACTGTAATCCAATTACCACTCACTGAAACAGTAACTGTAACTGAATACAGTTACTCATAATTTGTACTCTGATTACATAACTCCAGTACATGTAATCTGTTACTCCCCAACACTGTTTACTGTACACATTCTATTATATTTATTTATTTTAGGCATATTTTTTAGGATTTCCAGTGTTTCCTCTGTAGGAGCGTCTGCATCAGGAGCAGAGGGTTCTGTCCTGTGGGCTCCTGGTGGAGAGTTGGTGTTTGGGCTTCATCTCTCCCCTGTGGTGGTTCCTGGTGGTGGTGGACGTCTCTCTGCTCCTGGTGCAGACGGCTCCTCTGATGCTGCTTTCTCAACTGGTTCACCTGTATTCAGCCTCTCATTTTACTATGTCCGGTTATGTATTTTAGCAGGTTTGTGCGTATGTGAGTGTGTGTGTGTCTGGGTTGTTTGGTTGTGTGGGGTTTGTGCTTTAATCACTGTAAAACTTTGTGTTGCATTTTGTATGAAAAGCGCTTTATAAATAAGGTTTGATTGATTGATTTTCTCAAGCTTTATCCGGGGCCGGGGTCATGGGGGCAGCAGTCTGAGCAGAGAGGCCCAAACTTCCCTCACTACACACACTTCCTCCATCTCCTGATCCTGAGGTGTTCCCAGGCCAACCCAGAGACACAGTCCTGGGTCTTCTCTGGAATCTCCTCCCAGCGGGACATGCTCCCGAAGGAGGCGTCCAGGAGGCATCCGGAACAGATGCCCGACCCTCAGCTGCTCCTCTCCACGTGGAGGTGCAGCGGCTCTACTCCGAGCTCCTCACCCTGTCTCTAAGGGAGCGGCCAGTCACTCTCCAGAGGAAACTCATTTCGGCCGCTTGTATCCGCGATCTCATCCTTTCCGTCATTACCCAGAGCTCATGACCAGAGGTGAGGGGAGGAACGAAGACTGACAGTAAATCGAGAGCTTTGCGTTTCGGCTCAGCTCCTCTTTACCACAACGGTCCGATACAGCGACCGCATCACTGCCGACGCTGCACCGATCCACCTGTCAATCTCACGCTCCGTCCTCCCCTCACTCGAGAACAAGACCCCGAGATACTTGAACTCCTCCACTTGAGGCAGAGACTCGTGACCTTAGAGGAGGAACGCAGACTGACCGGTAAATCGAGAGCTTTGCTTTTTGGCGTAGGGACCTGGAGTTGTGTTTTGTTTCATTCACACATGTTTGAGTAACACTTTATTATTAAGATAAGGTAAGATAAGATAATCCTTTATTGTCTCCCATGGGAGAAATTTGTCTTGGGACAGGGGGGTAACATGTTTTATCAAAAAACTGGACAACACAACACAAAGCAGCACATAAACAAACACCATAAAACAAAGTAAATATGAGACCAGTATGACCACGAGTGATGCACCAACACGACCCTTAAATTATCCTTAACAGGCAGGACCTTGCATTCTTCTCTTCTATTAATTATTGCACATTCCCTAAGCCTATGTGCAGTTTTAGTTATAATTATTGCACATTCCCTTAGCCTATGTGCAGATTTAATTATTGCACATTCCTTAAGCCTATGTGTAGCTTTAATTGCACATATTAATCTGTTTACATCTCCAAAGCTCAGAACGCTCTATTCCACCTTGTGATGTCACGAAGCTCTAGTTTTCAAGTTATTTTATTATTATTTCAGTAGAGATCGACAATCCCAGAGCTGAAATGATCCAAATGATTCAAGTGAAGGTGCATGGAATTTGAAAACACAGGAGAGCACTTCCTGTATTGATCGTTCTTCTCGTCCTCTCAGGTGGAGCAGAGTGATGGAGCTGCAGGTTGTGTTGGTTCAGGTTTAGTTTAGGTTGGGCTGCTTTATTCGTAGGTAAATTGGTCAGTAAATTTGTTTTGCAGATTTAAGAGGCAGGTCCCACATTTCACATTTCATTCATCCACATTATTTAAATGCTCCAGTGCAGAACGTTTTTTGTTCCATAAACTATTCATCAAATTCATCCATCAAGCTTCGCTAAAATTACAATAACTGTTACATTTTTTCTAAGACAGTGTACTAAAATTGAGAGATAAATAGATTACAATTTATTCAAGCTTCTTTTAAAACGATTCCTTCTAGATCTTGGGACTAAAAACCTCAGACCAGAAGGAAGCAGCTGAAACTCAGAATTTAGTGGATGTTGGACGTCTTTTAAAATCCTCTGGGACGTCGTCTGTAAGTGTCTCGAGTACAGAGAGTCCAGAAGGTTCTGAGGATGAACACTCACCTCACTCACCCCTTTAACCGACTGATTTAGGAAGTTCTTGTTTTTAGTAGAAACGCTTCCAAAACCATGAGAACAATGAAAAAATGGTGTCTCTGACCTTCTCTTCTTCTCTCAGGTGGAGCAGAGAGATGGAGCTGGTTGTGTTGTAGCTGATGTTCTCTTCTTCTCTCAGGTGGAGCAGAGAGATGGAGCTGGTTGTGTTGTAGCTGATGTTCTCTTCTTCTCTCAGGTGGAGCAGAGAGATGGAGCTGGTTGTGTTGTATCTGATGTTCTCTTCTTCTCTCAGGTGGAGCAGAGAGATGGAGCTGGTTCTGTTGTATCTGATGTTCTCTTCTTCTCTCAGGTGGAGCAGAGAGATGGAGCTGGTTGTGTTGTAGCTGATGTTCTCTTCTTCTCTCAGGTGGAGCAGAGAGATGGAGCTGGTTGTGTTGTAGCTGATGTTCTCTTCTTCTCTCAGGTGGAGCAGAGAGATGGAGCTGGTTGTGTTGTAGCTGATGTTCTCTTCTTCTCTCAGGTGGAGCAGAGAGATGGAGCTGGTTGTGTTGTATCTGATGTTCTCTTCTTCTCTCAGGTGGAGCAGAGAGATGGAGCTGGTTCTCTTGTATCTGACGTTCTCTTCTTCTCTCAGGTGGAGCAGAGAGATGGAGCTGCAGGTGTGGGTGGAGGACTCTCTCAGGGTGGTGTGTGGAGTGTCCATGAGCACCAGGTGTCAGGAGGTGGTCATCGCTCTGGCCCAGGACCTCGGTCAGTTCCAAACTCTCTGCAACACTTTTTATTTCACTTCCACGGACTAGAAACATCAAAGGTCACATGAAAACAAATAAATCCAGTCAAACGTTTTACTTAGTGTTGATTCTGTTGCTGAAGATAAGTGCTCTACTACATCCATACGTCCTCTGCCTGCTTGATTCCATTTAGATGTTATTGCTTTGCCAGAAATGTTGCACAGTATGGCATTAAAATGGTCTACCAAGCATTCATTCAATTATAAAACGTTTTGATTGCAAAAAAGGAAAAAGGGGTCCCTATAGGCGAGTTTCATTGTTGACAAAAGCGCGCGTTGCATGCTGGGAATTATTTTGGTCGGCGGCAAGAAACACTAATTCAACATGACGGACGGAGCGAGAAAGCACGTAAAGGGTATTGATCCCGGTTATTTATCCACTCTAACGACAGAGGAACCAAGACCATTTGACCAGAAATTGATCATAAGCATCGACGGACGACAAATCACCCTTTTCAAACCCGACAAAAGGTGAACCAAACCAAATTTCTGGTCAGAATCTCCAACTACCTGGACAAATATTCACTTGGGCGACATCCACAATGACTTGGTGGAAACTCCTGGGCCATTCACAGCAGAAAAGATGAAAACCTCCAAGAGTCTCGATGTGTTGTTGAACTTGTTGGAGTCCACGGTTTGTTAGGATCTTCTACGTTTGCTCTGCGGATGTTTGAAAGTCGTTTAATTCACCGTTAGTGGTTCTTTTCACTCGGAATACGAAAAAGACATTTTCCTTCTTCCGTGCTTCTATTTGTGCATCCGATAATGCAGCAGGAATTTACCATTATCGGGGATAAATACGCGAGGTTACGCACTGTGTTTGACGCTACTGTGTTTGTTGCCTCCGACCTAAATATTTCCCAGCAGCAACGCCGGCTTTTAATAACAACGACATCAGCTGAAACTCGCCTATAAATTAACCTGTTGTTGTCACCTGAGATAAATGTGTCTAATGCCATATCATGGAACTTTCTAGGCAAAGCAATAACATGGAGACAAGCAGGTGGCAGGATCTTCTACCAGAAAAGTTACATAGTGTATATTTTAAATAAGTATTATAGCTTTTATCACATTTATATTACTATTACGTAATAAAAATAGACAACATCAATGTTAATCTAATCCAATCCACTTTATTTCTATAACACATTTTAGAAACAAAAATCAAAGTGCTGCACATAGAAAAAAAAAAAAAAAAAAAAAAATCTACAATTTAAAACAATGAAGAACATAATAAAAACAACTGAGTAGAGACAAATAAATCAAACAGTAAAAATGAAAGGCCCTTGTGGGGAAGCTGGCCAATGTGGTCAAAAGTAGGAGGCAAACAACAACAAAAAAAAGTGTCTTTAACCAGACAAAATGTATTTTAAAACAGACTTCTGGAGTCAACGCAAATGAAAGTACAAATAAACAAAAAATAAATAACTCAAATCAGAAACACCAAACAATCTGCACAGAAATCTCGCTCCCAGTTCTTCTTCTTCTTCTTGTAGTGTTTTACTGGCGGTTGGCAAACAACAAAGGAGTGTGAACTGAAATGTGACTCGGTGATAATCAAAACAAAATGAAATAAATAAATAAATAACAACAGTGATCCAATGATACCTAAAGCAAAACAATAAATCAAACCCTGTTCATCAAATTAATATCCCTGAGCAACTTAAATAAAACTTTGAAACTATTATTCCCTGAATGCTGCTGTAATAATTCTGTCAGATCGAATTTCTTTTTTTGGTCTTCAATCCCTTTCTTCTCTCTTCCAACTGATGACACCTGCTGTTTTTATAATCCGCCCAGCAGGAAGTGCCTCCCCCCAGGTGAGCATCAGTTCCAGTTAAAGCAAAGAAAAGTGAGGATTTTCCTGAGCCCAAGTCCTTTGTGAAAATCAAAGTGTTAAACATAAACTAAACTGTGCTGAAAATAACTATAAAACCAAATACACAAAAAAAAAAAAATAATGAAACAGAACTTCAACTAGTTTTCCCCTTCACATGGTCCAGCCCACGACCTCCTCCAAGGTTTTAAAATGTCCAACATGAGAATGTCTTTTGTCTGGACCATGTGGAGCTGCAGGTGAGTATGAGTAGAAACTGAAATGAATGAACAAATAAAATATATTTAAATGAAAAATGTCTAATGTGATAATTAACAAATAGAACCAAGAATTATTGTAACTGTATTGGGTATTGAGAATGACAAAATGTGAAATTAAACAAATGTGAGTTTAACCCTCACACTCTCCTCGGGGTCACATTGACCCAAAGAAACATTATTTTTCCTTCCCGCTCTCTTGGGGCGGGTCAATCAGATCCAAAAGTTAATTTTCCCACCTGGCGAGAATTTATTTGAAAATAAATTTTTGGGTCTGATTGACCCGCCCCAAGAGAGCGGGAAGGAAACAAAAGTTTCTTTGGGTCAATGTGACTCTGAGGACAGCGTGATGGGACAAAGGCCCAGTTTGTCACAGGCCTGAACCTGACAGTTTCTCATGTATTTGTCTGAATATAAATATAAAGTGTTTCATTGTCAGATAATCAGAAGGTATGACAACAAAACTCTGCTCTGAAAGTTCTTATCAACTCCTTGTGGTGAATAATTAAGATGCTCTGAAGGCAAAATGTAAGTGAGGAATAACTTTGGATCACTGCAAACTATTTAAAACAAACTAGTTCTGCTTTTCATGTTTTTAAAACTGTAAAAATCAGGTTCAGCGTCTTTAAGAACAGCACAACAATGCATGAGTCAATGGATAATTGACCCAAATGTAATAAATTTAATGTTCTGTCCCTCGTGTATAATTATTTTTACTACCAAACATTTGGCATCTGAATTGTAAAGGTGACCTAGATACCAATTAATTAAAATAAACATCTCCAACAATGGTTCATCCTGGAAATGCCACACCTGCTTAGAAAAACAGCTTTTATAGTTGTATAAAAATAGAATATGAAGTGGTTTTATTGGCGTTTGTGTTTACTGTGTGTCTGTGCAGGTCAGACCGGGCGCTACGTCTTAACCCTGAAGCTCCGAGGATCCGAGAGGCAGCTGCTCAAGGACGAGTGCCCCCTCCAGGAGCTCTCCAACCTGGGTCGAGACTCCGCAGACGCCCTCCTCGTCCTCCGCAGAACCGGACCCTCCACCAGCTCCCTGCCCGCCCACAAAAACTCCCCCAGGATCAAGCACCGACCCCGGACGCGCACGCCGGACCCGCTCCCCTCCAGGCCCCCGAGGGAGACCGAACCGAGCTCGCTGTACGGGACTTATCCGCGGAAAGGGAGAACCAAGAAAAACAAAATCCCCGTGCCGTCGCTGCAGAAAGATGCGGTTTATTTACAGCTGCTGCAGCAGGCCCGGACCTTACAGGAGCTGGAGGAGTGTTTAGAAGAACAGGAGAGGCAGACCCGGGACTCAGAAGTCAACCAGGACTTTGGACTAGATCTAGACCGGGACCTGACGGAGCAGCTGGCGGCTCTGGAGGAGAGACAGAGGCAGAATGAAGAGGAGCTGGGGCAGGAGGAATACTGGATGGGGCAGTTAGAGGAGGAGAACCGCAGAGCTAAAGGTAAATACAAAAAAAAAATAATCCGAATTTATTCATTTCAGTATATATATAAAAAAAATACCGTAAAATACCAAATAATAGCCGGGTTTCAACAAGAGCAATCAGAAATATCAACCTGGTTCCTCATGAGGCATCGGTGGGTCAGTTCATCACCACAGAAGCAGTTTATGAGGAGTCCAGCCCATATCACATGATCATTATATCCACAATGTAATGTGTGTATGTGTACAGGCCCATGAACATTTGTGTGATGTTGGTCACACATGAGAATGTTTGTGTTCACTAGTGTGGAACCAAAATGTCATTTTTCATGAGTTGTGTATCTGCAGTGTTGGGAAGGTGACTTTAAAATGTAATCCCCTACAGATTACAGATTACACACCCCAAAATGTAGTTTGTAACAGAATCCATTAAATGACTTAAAGTGAGTAATGTAATCTGAGTACTTTGGATTACTTGATTTGCTGTAGAGAAGCAAAGACGAGGATTTCATAACATAAGATCTTTTATGTGCTAAAAGAAAATAAAAAGTCCAGATTTTACTGAACCGTATTAAAAATATTATTGATAGAAGACGAGGAAACACGTCCACGCAGCAGGATTTAGTCCTGTTAAATCCTGTTTTAGTCCTGGGTTTAGTCCTGATTTAGACCTGGTTTAGACCTGGTTTGGACCTGGTTTTAGTCCTGGTTTTAGACCAGATTTTAGTCCTGGTTTGGACCTGGTTTAGTCCTGGTTTAGACCTGGTTTAGACCTGGTTTAGACCTGGTTTAGACCTGGTTTTAGACCTGGTTTAGACCTGGTTTAGACCTGGTTTTAGACCTGGTTTAGACCTGGTTTTAGACCTGGTTTTAGACCTGGTTTAGACCTGGTTTAGACCTGGTTTAGTGTCTGGCAGTGAGTGGAATTAGTGAAAAAAAAAAAAAAAAAAAGGGATATAGCCCGAAATGTGAAAATAGGGAAATCCCGCCGTGTAATCCATTTACTTCAACAAAGTAACTGTAATCCAATTACCACTCACTGAAACAGTAACTGTAACTGAATACAGTTACTCATAATTTATACTCTGATTACATAACTTTGGTAAATGTGTATGTTAGTTGTGTGACTGTAGATCAGTGTGTTGTTTATCACCAGAAAACGAAGAAATGGAAATTATTTTGTTCCAGTTAGAATTTTAACAGCTACACTGAAAGAGAAAGGAACTGTTATAATTAGTGTTTATCTTGAAAACTATTCATATTTTACTATACAAATGCATAGAATTATAAATATTTTTTCTGAGATTTTGAGACTCTCGTGTTGCTCGAGCTCGATCCTTCAGAGTTATGACCAAAAACACATATTTGACCTTGGTTATTTGACTGTAACATCCAGTGTGCCCCGGTTATGTGTGTGCCAACTTGTGTGATGATTGGGTGAATATTTTAGGCTGCAGATGGTTCAGAAATTGCAGAAATTGCCTTTATCCTTTATAATGTCGTGACCATTGAATTGACCCGTGTGACCTCAAATGACCTCGGATCGTCACCAAACTTTTTTTTTGTGAAACAAATAAACGCCCTGGCTATTACTTGGTATTTTACGGTACACAGAAACAAAACACTGCAGGTTATCGGCAGCGTAAAAGCAGTATAATTAAAAACTGAATTGAAAACTGAAAAGCAAAAAGTTACACAATGCATCTTTAACTCCTCGTTGTTGTGTTCAGACCTGAGCGTTCGTCTGGAGGAGCTGCAGTGGAGCGTGCACCATCAGACCCAGAGATTATCCTCGCTCCTGTCCCGCTCCGACAGCCTGCAGTCGGACACGCACAGACAGACCGAGGAGGCTCTACGCCCCCTGGAGGACGAACTGCAGCAGCGCCACCTGCAGGGAGAGAGGATCACTGCGGCGCTGGAGGAGACCGAGCGGGAGATGCAGAACGCTGACAGAAAGATCAGGGTGAGGCTCCACGTCCACTGTGCCCTGATGTTTATTCTAAGATGTATTCCAATGTCGTAAAAGAGATGTCTATACTGCCCTCTGCTGTTTCAACTGAATAAATGTTTTTGAACAGCACAGATAAGGCCACAAGAGCAGTCACGTCACAAAAGTGTTGATTTAACTAAAAGAAAACAGTTAGAAAAAACAAAAACAACTATGAAGCTAAGTTGTCTGCAAACTGAGAACATAAAAAACATTTGGTTTGGGAGCAGCAGCTCTACTCTGAGCTCTTTAAATTAGTTTGATGCAGCAGGAAACTATGGCTACGTTCAGACTGCAGGGCTTAACGCTCAATTACGATTTTTTTGTGAAATCTGATGTTTTTGCGAGGTCGTTCACATTTCTAATTAAATGTGACTTGTATGTGACTCCAGTGTGAACATTAAACGGCCCGAAAGTGTCCCACATGTGACACTGGAGACACGACGACGTCAACCGCAGCGAGCGTCTCTGTGTTTACAGAAGTTGTCCAAACATGGACGCAGCATCGAGCACCTGGAGATTTTAAAGTTCCTCTCGTACCGGAGCCAGAACATGAACAACTTACTTGTTTTAAGGAGGAGATTGAGAAGGAGAAGGACGAGGTTTTTGGTCGTGGTGTTTTGTGGGGCAGCAGCAGCGACGTCCGTTGAAAGGAACGTGTGGATGTGGAGACGGAGCCAAGAGTGGTGAGTGGTGATGTGCTTCACTTCAGTGACACAGAGTTCATTAACAATTTTCACCTACTTCAGCGCAGAATAGTGACGTTTGTGTCTTGTTGATAACATGTAGGTGGATGAATGCACTTTGGCCGTTCAGACTGAAGTCACATGTCAAAAGATCAGATATGTATCAGTTTCAGGAGCACATATCCAAGTGTCCTGGGTCACATTTGAAAAAATCGGATCTGTGTTGTGACCCGTATCTGATCTTTTAATAACAGTCTGAACGACACAGATCCTAAAACCGATACATATCTGATCTTCTGACATGCGACTTCAGTCTGAACGGCCAAGGCGCATTCATCCACCTGCACGTCATCAACAAGCGACAAATGTACACAAACGTTCTTCTCGTCATATGAAAATTGTTAATGAACTCCGTGTCACTGAAGTGAAGCACATCACCACTCACCACTCTTGGCTCCGTCTCCACATCCACACGTTCCTTTCAACAGACTGAACCACAAAACACCACGACCAAAAACCTCATTTTCTCCTTCTCAATCTCCTCCTTAAAACAAGTAAGTTGTTCATGTTCTGGCTCCGGTACGAGAGGAACTTTAAAATCTCCAGGTGCTCGATGCTGCGTCCATGTTTGGACAACTTCTGTAAACACAGAGACGCTCGCTGCGGTTGACGTCGTCGTGTCTCCAGTGTCACATGTGGGACACTTTTGGGCCGTTTAATGTTCACACTGGAGTCACATACAAGTCACATTTAATTGGAAATGTGAACAACCTCGCAAAAACATTGAATTTCACAAAAAAAAATCCGAATTGAGCGTTAAGCCCTGCAGTCTGAACGTAGCTTTATTATTTTCCTTTCAGTCAATACCCAAAGCTAAAGCTCATGACCATATGTGGGGGTAGGTTGGACCAGAGGACTAAACCAGGACTAAACCAGGACTAAATCATGGCCTATAGGTGAGAGAAAGAATGTAGACTGACTGGTAAATCAAGATTTTTTGCCTTTAGACTCAGCTCCTTGCTCACCACAACAGTCCAGCCTTCATTTTATATCTGTTTGTCTTTAAACGTGTCCATCAACCTTTACAATTTTAATGGACGCAGTTCTCAAATCGTGAAGCCTGCAGTTTTCAAAGTATCATCATTTCCTCCACAAACAGCACAATAACACACAAAAAGTCTTATTCTACATTCTACAAAACTGCTAACTCTGCAGAACTGTACAAACATGTTCTGAAATGTAATTCTTGTATTACGTCGTCAATTTTTTCAGTTCTTCTAGACGTGCTTAAAATGTGAACTTTAATTAAAACTTAAATCGCAAATCTCATCACAAAATTTTCTATTCAATATTTTACCCAAATTAGTAGTTGAGACGATGACGGTACATTTCCAGTGGTGGATGAAGTACTTCAGTTTGTTACTTAAGTAAAAGTACAGATACAAGAGCAATTGATTACTCAAGTAAAAGTAAAAGAACATGAGAAATCTACTTGAGTAAAACTATTGACCTGTGCCTGTTTAAAAATGTTTTTGCAGAGATTTTTTGAACAAATAACGCTTCAAATTTTGTGATTTTGATTAAGAATTCAACTGATTTTAAGGAATACAATTGATTTCTTAATTTTTCTAGCTGTTTCTTTGTATTTGATTTGCTCGAAGTTGGGATGTTAACTCGAATTAAATGTGCTAAAAAAATAAGATGGCGTGATTTTAACTTAAAGGCTTTTAATTATTTTTTACTTTTTGAGGGTCTCAGCTTTATAAACTTTGTATTTAAGACCCCTATACAATTTTACACAGTCTCTGTACATCCAAGTAGCATTTCTGCCTCTAATGTTTTATGAAGAATAGTACTTTTACTTTATAGTTCAGATCTAAAATGTAGTGAAGTTGAAATTACAGATACACAGTCTCAAATGTAGTGCGGTAAAAGTAAAAAGCATCCAAATGTACTTAAGTAAAGTACATATATTTAAACATTGTACTTAAGACTTTCGTACTTCATTACGTTTCACTTTCTGACCGTGTTGTGTCTCGTTCTCAGGTGCAGAAACAGCTGATGGAGGATCTGAGTAAAGAAATCAGACAGTGTAACCTGCAGCAGTTCATCGTCCAATCAGGAACAGGCCCCGCCCCCTCCGACATATTCGTCCAATCGGGAACAGGCCACGCCCCCTCTGATCTGTTTGTCCAACCGGGACCAGGCTCTGGACCCTATGACATCACCAACCTGCGGTCAAGTTCAGAGATTTACCTCAGCAACGCAGGAATCCTGGAGTAGAAATACAAAGGTCTGACCAGAGAAATGTGACGATAAAAACTGTTCTGATCCATGTGCAGAGTTTGTAAATAATACTTTTAACATTTATTTAGTTACAGAACACCGAATATCTGCTTTAAAACTCAAAACATGCTCCAGTTCTTGCCTGAGATCCAGAATACACAAGATTTGCGTCTGGTCACCAATGAACTTCCCTGTTTTCAGATGGACTTGATTGATTGACAGGTGGATTAGCCAATCAGAAACACACATGGTCAAGCATCAAAACAAACACAGCTGCTTACGAACATAAAATAAAAGTCCTTTTTATGTTAAGACCAACAGTAAGAGGCTGATCTTGTATCCACTCCAAAGCACAAACAAGTGGAAATCATGTATAAAGAAGTGGACTAAAGGTCGTCACACTTTGCAGAATTTTTCGGTCTTAAACGTCTTTTTAAACGTGCGACAAAAAGTGCACACTACAGACATGAAGAGAATCTTACGAGACTTAAAATCTCCGATCGCAAAGACTGCAGTGGGATTTGTCTGCGGACCACAGGATATAAAGTTGTGAGCGCTGTGATCGCGTCAGCTGTTTCCTGTCTACAGTAAAACCAGTCGCTCTGAGACTCTCAAGTGTTAAAAAGATCAGACTCTGCACTTCTAGTTTAGACACAAGTCAAACTGTCTTATTATTATTTGTGAAATGTGGAGCAAAACTTCAGATACGTGATTTTTTAAAGCATAAAAGTCGACAAGAAGTAGAGTCACTGTCGTTAATCTGCAGCTTCACCTCGATCCGTGCGCTGTGTGGATGTAAACAAACACACGTGAGGAACTACTCCCACCTTTTTACTTTTAAAGAATGACTATAACTGGATTAACAGTGCGGTTTTGTGGACTGAGTTTGTTTGTTGCGCTTCTGTGTCTGTCTCTCCTTTGCCCCTGACGCTCTGTTTTATCGGCTGTTATCGTAGAGTTGCTGATGTTTGGAGTCACTCTGACACACACACACACACACGAGGAGCACAAAATGTCAAAATTCGCACACAAACAAAGTCGAGTCACGCCTCCCTGAAGTCGGATAGAAGCGAATCTCAGTCTAAATCTGTCGTGTGTGGCGGCCTTAAGAACAAAAATAAGTTTGAAATCACACTTTATTCGAGCCCCGTGTCACGTACGTAGTGCTACGACGGTAAGAGGCTGATCTTGTATTTTCATATAAGTTGCCATAACTGAAAATACGACGGTTTATCACAAGATCAAGTCAGTATTTGCTGTGATTTTGTTTATGTTTATATCAGTTTTTTACGATTCTGAGTCTGTGTCCTCGTCCAAACATCTCGTAAAGCGTCTGGGAGTTAGCGCCCTCTAGTGTCAGACCTCCAACAGGACGGGGCGGTTCACTTTAGACCGTGGAGACTCTTGAGGCCAGTACAGATCTGCTCCAAAATGAACCAGTGGAAATGAGGCTGAATGGCTCAAGGTAAAGTGTGACATCTGGTGGTCACATTGTGTATTGCAGCCCCAAGCCTTTTTTTTTTTTTTTTGTAATTTACTTTTTACTATAAATATGATGCTCTTATATTAAATGCACATACTGGTGAATTATAGATAAATATGTATGTGTAATGGTGAACGGATATGAGAATATTTTGTTTGTTTGTTTGATTTTTAGTTGAAGGAAATGTCTATGGCCAGTTTGAACAAAGCAAAAAAAAAAAAAAAAAATAAAAAAATGTTAAATGAAGGTGTAAATATGACTGAACATACATTTTTATAATTATTGTGTGTTTTATTTTATATATTTTGCACTGTGTGTTTCAAATGTACTTTTTAAATGATCAAAAATGTAATATAATAAGCTATTCCACTGCCTGTTCTTTTGTTTACCAAACTTTATACTTTGAACAAATGCTTAAAGGTGCACTGTGTAAATTTCTGGTGGAGGGTACGCCCGCCGTCTGTTGATATGTTCCACAGTACAGCATTAAATCAATCCAAGTTTCATTAGTAATTATTTAATTTAATTGCTAAATATAACGTGCATTCATAAGCCGACTGTGCGCTGTCACTTCTCCACAGATCTGACCTGGTTTCTTGTCTCCACGGAGATAGATGGGCTGTATTTAATGCCATACTGTGAAACATTATAGGCCAAGCATTGATATCTCCATGGCAACAGAAAGATGACAGACCCCAGTGCACCTTTAAAACTCATGAAGTTTAATTTATTTTATGGGGATGTAGATTTATTCCATGTGTAAGCAAACTGTTAATGATTTTTATTATTAAACTCTTTTGCTTTACGTTTGTGAGAATTTTGTATTTGTAGTCATTAAAAATATACTTAAAGGTTGTATGGAGGATTTTTTTTGTTTCAAATTGTCAATGATAGATTATAGAGGCGCAGTAGCCTTGTAATTATGATGACCAAAAAAAAGAGAATAAAAATTCATCAACTCTGGACGTGGTGGGGCTAAACATTTGCCAATAGATAACGACACTGCCTCGTTATCTGTGAGCTGACAGGCTGTCAATCAAACTCCCTACGTTTCTAGTGTAACTGACTTGCCTGCGCGCCGCCGGTACGTGGTTTACGTACGACTGTCACGCAGTCCACAGACGCAAGACGCACAGACGCTGTTTACTCCACCAACGCAACAGTTCTTAGCGGCTTTTTTTGACCTATATCTTCCTCGCAGTTCGCACAAAGTTTGTTGCAATGGCGACAAGAATCCAGGAGCAGTTCACCGCAAAAGAAAGTCCGTTTTTGAGGTCGCTGAAAGAAGAAGACAAGGGGAAAAGCAGCGAAGCCAAACTAAGGTGATTCTTGTAGATTCATTCCAGCGATGGTGCGACTGAAGCAGACGCAGGGTCTAAAGACTGAACCACTGGTCCACAAATTACTCCTGGACAGGAAACTTCTGCTTATTATGAAAACGTACTTTATTTCCAAGAGCTAGACAAACGTTTTTCAGGACACGAAAGCGATATCCTATGTCTGAAAACGTAATTTTCAAGGCAAAGAAAGAGTCCGCTTGCTGCTGCGTGTTGTAACTAGTTCATTCGCACTGAATCTCCGCGCAACCTTCTCTGCACCCCTTTCCTGCTCCTGTCCCCGCTGCCCGATCCGCTCTTCCCCCTGCTCCTCACTTCTCCGGGCACGGAATCTCCGCGCACCCCCTCCCTCTCCTCTCTCCTCCTCCCTCTTCTCCCTCCTCTCCCTGCTCCGCTCTTCCCCTGCTCCTCACTTCTCGTCCGCGCACGAAATGTCCGCGCACACTCCCTCCCCCGCTCCTCACTTCTCCGTCTTGCCTAACCAACACTGTAGTTAGTTGTTTACAAGTCATGTGCAGCACCGGCTGTAAACAAACCTGTTTCTGGCGTAAAGAGGAGGCGGGAGGAGGTGTTTCTACGTCTGGAGCTGTGGGGGAGGGGAGGTGGTTTCACGCATGCGCAACATTTGAAAAAGGACAAACAGTCGCTGGATTTCTCGTTCCTTGGAAAATCCTCTATACAACCTTTAAGGAGTAAATAGTCCCTGTACGACCGAAGCAGGAGTTGTGTTCGTTGCCGGCAGTAAGTCAGACCTGTTCCCGGTGCATGTTGGACTCCGCCAGGGCTGCCCTTTGTCACCGGTTCTGTTCATTGTTTTAATAGACAGAATTTCTAGGCGCAGTCAGGGGCCGGAGGGGGTCCGGTTTTGGGGACCACAGGATCTCAACTCTGCTGTTTCTAGATGATGTTGTCCTGTTGCTTCATCGAACCAGGACCTGCAATGTGCACCGGGGCGGTTTGCAGCCGAGTGTGAAGCGTCTGGGATGAAATTCAGCTCCGGCAAGTCCGAGGCCGTGGTTCTCGACCGGAAAAAGGTGTCTTGCCCTCTTCAGTAATGTCGGATTTTGTAGGATTCTTTTCAGTTTTCACATAAACTTTTAAATTTTTGTTAAATGCTCAAAGCGCCTAAAAGCTTTGGAAGACTTCACTGCAAAAAACTAAATCTTGCCAAGTTAAGACGACTTGAATTTAAAAAGTTTGATCATGATTTGAGTAAATTTCACTTGACGAGTAAAATTATCTGCCAGTGGAACAAGACTTTTTGTTCTTAAAATATGAAAATACATCTTGTCGTCTCCGGGTGGGTGGAGAGTCTCTGCCTCAAGTGGAGGAGTTCAAGTATCTCGGGGTCTTGTTCACGAGTGAGGGGAGGACGGAGCGTGAGATTGACAGGTGGATCGGTGCAGCGTCGGCAGTGATGCGGTCGCTGTATCGGACCGTTGTGGTGAAGAGGAGCTGAGCCAAAAGGAAAAGCTCTCGATTTACCGGTCAGTCTTCGTTCCTCCCCTCACCTCTGGTCATGAGCTCTGGGTAGTGACCGAAACGACGAGATTGCGGATGCAAGCGCTCGAAATGAGTTTCCTCCGCAGGGTGGCTGGGCGCTCCCTTAGAGACAGGGTGAGGAGCTCAGTCACACGGGAGGAGCTCGGAGTAGAGCCGCTGCTCCTCCACGTTGAGAGGAGCAGCTGAGGTGGCTCGTGCATCTGGTCCCAATGCCTCCTGGACTCTATTCTCGAGAGATGTTCTGGGCATGTCCAACTGGGAGGAGGCCCCGGAGAAAACCCAGGACACACAGGAGGGGCTATGGCTGCGTTCAGACTGCAGCCTGAAGTGACCCAAATCCGATTTTTTGGCTTCTATGTTCCTGTATCTTAATTTCAGTCTGAACGACACAGATCTGATTTTTTCAAATGTGACCCTAGGACACTTGGATATGTGCTCCTGAAACTGATACATATCTGATCTTTTGACATGTGACTTCAGTCTGAACGGCCAAAGTGCATTCATCCACCTACACGTTATCAACAAGCCACAAACGTCACTATTCTGCGCTGAAGCAGGCGGAAAACCGGAACTGTAAAATCTCCAGGTGCTCAATGCTCGCGTCCATGTTTGGACAACTTCTGTAAACACAGATCACGCTCGCTGCGGTTGACGCATGGGGTTGACGTCGTCGTGTCTCCAGTCACATGTGGGACACTTTCGGGCCGTTTACCGTTCACACTGGAGTCACAGACAAGTCGCATTTAATTGGAAATGTGAACGACCTCGCAAAAACATCGGATTTCACAAAAAAATCGGAATTGAGCATTAAGCCCTGCAGTGTGAACGTAGCCTCTGTCTCTGGGCTGGCCTGGGAACGCCTCGGGATCCCCACGTAAGAGCTGGAGGACGTGTAAGTGGAAAGGGAAGTCTGGGAGTCCCTGCTTAGACTGCTGCCTCCGCCATCCAGCCCCATGTAAAGCGGGGAAAAAATGGATGGATGGACTTAAGTAGTAAAAAGTAAAAGTATTTCATGCAGATTTTGGATCTAATAAAACTTCAAAAGTAGAGATGTTGTTAAAGATTTATACTGAACTTTTACTTTGTCACATTCCACCGTGGATCAACATCAGATTCTAACCTTTTTGCATGTCGGTTCTTTTTAAATGTTGCTATAGTGAAGCCAGAAGCAGATTTATAGAGTTTCTGTTTAAAACTCACCTTCAGAGAAACAAAGCGCAGATTTCATGAACGTTTGTTTTTATTGTTGAAAAATGTGACGTCTTTGAACACTTCATGTACGAGCTGGAGTATGAGCTGTCTGAATAATCACAGGTGAACACAGAGCAGTGGGCGGAGATAGGGGGTAGGTGAAAACAGACATTTTCGGAGTCATTAAACCACAAAATCAGGAGAATACAGGATCACTCAAACATGCAAGAATCGATCAAAATACAACTTTTGAGTAAGATGAAAGTTACAGAACATCTCCATGGTGACAAGAGGGTTATCCTCCATCGGAAAAGTTACACAGTGCAGCTTTAAGTGTATGAAAATGTAGTAGATCAGGCTCAAACATGAGTAATAGAACATGGCTTTATTTTACAGTCGTCCACCAGGGGGCAGCATCAGTCCATCTCTGCAGCTGAGCCAGTTTCCTGAGCATTAGATCATTAAATTTTATATTATTATTTATTTTTATATAATTATACTGGGTGAAAACATTTATTATATAACACATTGAAACTTTAATGAGTGTCACTGGAGCGGATAAAAGCGTCTATTTAAAACTGTCACACCAAATACTAATGAATGTTTTTCTGCTGTTGAATGTGATTTTTGTCTCCAGAAAAAAATGTTTTTTAAAGTTGAAGCTTCTCCAGAAATAAACACAGAGCTTTAAAGTTCTTTCCAGGGGTCAACACAAATCAAACACAGTCTAAACCAGCAGGTCCAGTTAACCAGGAGTCAGGTCTCAAACATGGTCTAAACCAGTAAGTCTAACCAGAAAAGTACTATTAAGTCACAAGGTCTAAAGGTCAAGGTCAGTAACCCAGGAGGTCCCATTTATTATATAACAGAAACTTTAATGAGTCTAATAAAAGCGTCTATTTTAAAACTGTCACACCAAATACTAATGAATGTTTTTCTGCTGTTGAATGTGATTTTTGTCTCCAGAAAAAAATGTTTTTAAAGTTGAAGCTTCTCCAGAAATAAACACAGACACAAACCAGGTCTAAACCAGGTCAAACCCAGGTCTAAACCAGGTCTAAACCCAGGTCTAAACCAGGTCTATACCAGGTCTAAACCAGGTCTAACCCAGGTCTAAACCAGGTCTAACCAGGTCTAAACCAGGTCTAACCCAGGTCTAAACCAGGTCTAAACCAGGTCTAAACCAGGTCTAAACCAGGTCTAAACCAGGTCTAACCAGGTCTAAACCAGGTCTAACCCAGGTCTAAACCAGGTCTAAACCAGGTCTAAACCAGGTCTAACCCAGGTCTAAACCGGGTCTATACCAGGATTAAACCAGGTCTAACACAGGACTAAACCAGGTCTAAACCAGGACTAAACCTGGTCTAAGTCTGGTCTCAAACCCAGGTCAAACCCAGGTCAAACCAGGTCTAAACCAGGTCTTCACAAGGTCTAAACCAAGTCTATACCAGGACTAAACCAGGTCTAACCCAAGTCTAAAGCAGGTCTAAACCAGGACTAAAGCAGGTCTAAACCAGGACTAACCCAGGTCTAATCCAGGTCTAAAGCAGGTCTAAACCAGGACTAAATCTGGTCTAAATCAGGTCTCAAACCTAGGTCTAACCCAGGTCTAATCCAAGTCTAACCCAGGACTAAACCAGGAAGAAAAAGACCACTACAGACCCTAAGAACTGCACAAGATCCAGACTAACTCCGACACAACCAGGTCTAAACCAGGATTAACCCAAGACTAAACCAGGTCTAAACCACAATCAGGTCTCAAACAGGACTAAACCAGGACTAAACTATGTCTGAACCAGGACTAACACAGGATTAAACAGAGACCACACTGCCGACCAGGAAACACTCGAGATGATCAAAACATCACATTCACAATTTGTCAAGACGGTAATTTCTATTTATGTATTATTCATATTTTCATGAATCTGAAAGACTCATTTTGACTTAATTTGAGTCATTTTGGTTGGATAATACCTGTTGTAAATATAAATTACAATTTCAAGAAGCAGTTTGTGAAGAAAAGTTGAAAAACATGACGACATCAAACTATACAACAGCTGGGATCAATTTACATGTAAACACATTTCAGCTCAATAAAGTCGTTTTCTTACGTTTCTTACATAATCATACATTTTTTATTACGTAACCTTCTTCAGCCTCGCTCCTGATTGGCTCTTTGGTTGCTATGATACGCACGGTCGGAATTCCAAACCTGGACCTGGCTCCAAACTCGCTCCTATAACCGCCGCCCTCGATGAGCTTCGTTTGACTGGAGCTGAACGCTGTGTGGTGACGTCGCTTTCCCGTCGTCCACGTCTTTACACAGTTTGTGGATTTGGCCCAGTGTTTAACGTGGTTGCTAGGTAACAGTTACTGAATTTTAAACCTAAACAAAAATTGTGGGAAAAATGTGAAATGTCCCACAAAGTTTCACATGTCTAATTATATTAACAATGTCCAACTAGTCATGAATATTAAGTTTTTGTTTTGTTTTTAAAGGAGCATTGTGTAACTTTCTGGTTGTGGGCTCCGTCACCTGCTTGTTTCTATGGAGATGTCATTGCTCTGCCTGAAATGTTCCACAGTATGACATTAAACAACTCTACATAGCACTTAAATTGAATCACAAGTTTCATTGTTTTTGTGTATTTGGTTTTTAAAGTTTAAAGTTGCAGCACTGTTTAGTTTATATTAAATATTTTCATTTAAGACGTAAGTAGCCCGATTCATCAGCCGGTTTCACTTCGTGGAAACCGTCTGACCTCGCAGCATTAGGATTCGTTCGCTCGACAGTAGGCGGGTACTTTTTTTTATAAACAAATCGCTGCTGTTTGGTCGTGATGTTTGTAATGCGCCAAATCCCGTAGGAAGAAGAACAATAACGTCTTTCCCCTTGATAAAATTCACCAAACATTCTCTTTGTTCCAGCTTTAAATCCTCGATCTCGGGAATCGTCGCCAACACAGAATGTCTGTCTTTATCTAAATCCATCTCGACTAGAGGTGTGCAAAAATATCGAAATATCATATCGTTTAATGTGATGATACAGCATCGATATCGTGGGCTGATATATATTTGTATATCGTCAAGAGTATTTTTTGGTATATTTTACTAAATCATTTTGTTACAGCTACAGTTTTGTCTCTTGTTTAGAGGAAGGAAACTCGTTTATGCGACACTTTTCACATTTTCACTGTTTTGATGATTAAAATGTTTGTGTTTCATATGAACTTTGCACAAGAAGCGGTTTAACAAAGACTTTTAGAATCACACTCATGATTTAGCCTTTTTATTTATTTAATTTTTATAGAACCGTATCAAATAGTAGGGAAATTAAAGTGCACTGTGTCGAGATATGTATCGTATCGTGGCCTATGTATCGAGGTTTGTATCGTATCAGCAACTTCTGAACGATACCCAGGCCTAATCTCGACCGCTTTGTTTACTGTTGTGCTGTTCCACAAAAGGGACCCAGACAGACGCAACACAGTTTAACGTCATGACTTCACAGCTCTTCTCTGATTGGTCCGTGTGTGGTCTACAACTTCCGAGGTTCTTGTAAACCGTCTAGTGTATTCTGATTCCTGATCCTAGTCGCTGGAAAGAAATGAAATTGAGCAAAGGCACTAGGTGACGCCAGCCTGACTAGGACTTAAGCCCAAATAAGCAAAAATCCAGCTTTACTTTGAAAAGTTACCGGTAAAGGAACTGATATTCACCTGGAGGAGGTACTTCCTGCTGGGGGGTATAAAGAAGGAGAGCAGGTTTTGCCAATTAGGGGAGACTTCTGTATAGATGGGTGCATGTTGTTGGCGCTTTGATTTAATTTGAGTTATGGCGAGGAGAAAATTCAGTTTGTCGACTGGACAAAAGTTAGTTTGGTTGAAGACGTTTCGCAGCTCATCAAAGCTGCTTCTTCAGTTCTGAACAGAAGAAACAACTTGGATGAGCTGCGAAACATCTTCAACCAAACTAACTTTTGTCCAGAGAACTTTTGTTTTCCTCGCCGTGGATTCTACCTGGACGACTGAGAGATTCTTCACACTTAAATTGAGTTACTTATTTTCTGTTTTTTTGTACTTTATTTTAAGCTACACCAGAAGTCTGTTTTAAACACATTTTAGTTTGGACAAAGACACTTTTTGTTTTTGTTTTTAGTCTGCCTCCTACTCGACCACGTCAGGCCAGCTACCCCACATTTGACAAAAGAAGAAATTCAATTTGTCAACTGAACAAAAGTTTAGATGAAGAAAAGAGGTAGAGAGCCACACTGGGTCATAAAATAGTTAAAAATAGCAGAACAGGTGATCTACAAAGGTTAAACTTGTAATCTTAACAGAAAGTTACTCTTACTGAAAAGGGCATGTTGCCTGACGAAGACCATCTTGCTCGTCGAAACACGTTGGCGTCCCTTCATGAATTAAAGAACTTTTAATATATTCGGTCAGAGTGCCTCGGGTTTGTATCTTTCCCACTTTTACATTTTTCAGTAAGAGTAACTTTCTGTTAAGAAGGACAAAAGTTTATTTTGGTGGAACAAGTTGCTTCTAAAGTACACGTAGTTTTAGAGCTTAAAAATACCTACAAAAACAGGCGTTCTGACTGTGAGCGGGGTCGCCTCTCCACAGATCTGACCTGTAACTTGGTCTGGTTTGGTCTCCATGAAGATAGAAAGGTTTAAAGCCATACTGCGAAACATTCCAGACAAAGCAATGACATCTCCACAGAGAAAAGCGTTTAACGGAGCCTCCACCAGGAAAAGTGACCCAAAGCACTTTTAAGTTTTTATTTCGTTTTAAAGTGACACGTAATATTACAATGTCCTTAATTAAGAACGTCTCTCCAGAAACAAACGTAGAACACTGTGATTTCATCTGAACTCTCCTGGTGAGTTTTCAATCACAGCCAGAGTCTTTCGTTTCACTCTAAAGTCCGTTCTTTTTCTTTTCGTCCGTATCTTTAACAGCTCTATTGTCATATATTGGTGGTGGAGTAGGTGGTGGAGAAGTTGTCCATCCTGAATCTCTGCACGCTCTTCCCTTTGGGCGGCGGTCCGTACAGGGAGCAGCAGTTGAAGACTTCCCGGCAGGCCTTCCGGAAGTTCTCGGAGAGGAACGCGTAGAGGATGGGGTTCACGCACGAGTTTCCGTACGACAGGCAGTGGGCGACGATCCTGAAGGCGAAGGAGGCGTCGTTCAGGGGGAAGCGCCCGAACTCCACCCACATGGCGATGATGTGGTGGGGCATCCAGCACAGAGTGAAGGCCGTGACCACCAGCAGCACCGTCTGAGCCGTCTGAGAGACAAACAAAACAGAATATTAATCTAAAAAAAAAACAAAAAAACATTGAAGTGAGACTAAACATCTATACATGCATCCCGAATTTCGAACTTCCGGTCATCGCGCAATACATACTGGGAAGGATCCTCCAAAAAAGTGAGCATCAAACCGCCAAGTCGATCTTTTCAAGTCTTTTGAACCATATCACTTTTGTTTCTGGTTCTAATATTGTCATATTTTAGTTCTGGGATTCGGACATTGTAATTGTGTGGTTGTTGGATCCTAACAGCGGAAAACAGCAAGCAAAAGATGTTCATTTTGGGAAAGACAATTAAAGTGTGTTTACCTTGTTGAACTCCATAAATGATATACAAAGGTGAATCAGATGTGTGTGACTGCAAAAACCTCTGTTCAAACTGTTTCTCTTCCCAACGGAATTGAAAAATAGTGAAAGGTGAAGGTGATGGGCAGGATTGATCCACAGGAAGAATCAAAAAAGAAACATTTGACTGACTAAATCATCCCGAGTTTTGTATGTGGAGCGACAACAAAACAAAATCCCGATCCCTCACTCAACCTCGGTTACGAATTTAAAAAGTCAACGCCAAAGCAAAAGGCACCAACTGTTCACCAAGAAACACCTTCCACTGCAAAGAGACCAAGACGTGATGTTGCTGTAAAACCACAAGAACAAGAAAGTGCAGCTCAGTCTGTTTGTCTTCTGCTCCTCTCCATTAACAAACGGGATTTTTAATTTTTAGTAGGGGAGAGTGAGGGAGGACCAAAGGCGGGGTCTGGAGGACTAAAGGGGAGAGTGAGAAAGTAAGAGCGACTGGGGCTGGAGGACTAAAGGGGAGAGTGAGAGAGGACAAGAGACGGAGGGTTTGGAGGGCTAAAGGGGAGTGAAGAGTGAGGGACTGGGGATGAGGGCAGGGGCTGGGGGGTCTGGAGGACTAAAGGGGGAGTGAGGGCAGATGAGGGGAGGGGTTTGGAGGACTAAAGGGGGGAGTGAGGGAGGGAGGATGGGGAGGGGGCGGGGTCTGGAGGACTAAAGGAGGGGAGAGTGAGGAGGGCAGGGGGGGTCTGGAGGACTAAAAGGGGGAGTAAGGGGAGGAGGGGGCGAGGGGCGGGGTCTGGAGGACTAAAGGGGATAAGGGGGAGACAGTGGCGATTGGTCTCACAGGTGTCTACACTTCAAACTCCGCCCCTGCAGCCAAGTGTTTGTATCTGAAACACATGGATGTAACCAGGGCAGTTCTGTGTAATGTCACCAACTACTAGAAAGTGCACTTAAAGCAGCACAGACTTAGATTTACATGTTTTTGGTCAGAAAGCTGCAAAGTTAAGTTACCTAGTATTCACTAAAATTACACAAAATGACTAGAAACAGTAGATAATACTTTAAAAACACCATATACACAGTTTAGTAGCATGAATTAACGAAAAGATAACATATTTAGATCATCATGTTACCTTTTATTGTTTTGAAAATGCTATATTCTCCTAAAGCAGTGTATTAAAAAGGTTAATTAGTTTCAGTTTTGGACACTCTAGTAGCAGGCTTGTGGGCGGAGCCTTAGACAAGAGGCGTGGTCTCGTACACCTAACCCTAAGGAGGGCTTGAATAGAGAGATCGCAAGATGCACAAATGATTCAGAAAGCCAGAGATGTTTTTGATGAGGAAACAGCAGTGCAACATGATAGAAAGTTCCAAAAAGTTGATTTAGCAGAATAGTCCGTCTTTAACTGCGTCTTCTTTTAACATTCACACACTGGGTTAGGAGTTAGGACTTGTTTTTACCTTGTTGACACGCTGCTGTAGCCGACATGGAACATATCGAGGTAATACATCTCCCAGCTTATTGTTTTTTTAAAGAACTTTGTGATCAAACTGTGATAAATGAACTGGTTAAAATGACAAAAAGGCCTTATGGAGGTACAATGAACGTCAAAATGATTTCAGTTTCAATTAATTCTATTTTTGTATAGTTCAGCTGTCACGTGGAAACAAAGGGAGGACTCAAAATGCAGGACTGCTTTAAAGTTCTTTAATACCAAACAAAAAAGACTAAAAAAATAATAATAATAAAATAATTCATAAATCCACAAATCCAAAAACTGAAACTACAACAGACATGATACTGACAAAAATGATGGGGTCCGGTCAAGCAGAAGTAAACAGCAAACAACAGAGGGAAACAGGGGCAGATTTTTGACATTCAAATGTCTCTTATTCAGAAACTAGAGGAACTATTGAAATAAGTAAAGTATCAGAATGTAGGAAAGAGTTACACTCCAACAGGGTCAAGTTAAACCTGTGATATTCTTTCAAGTTGTTGACAAAAAATTTAAAAAATCATCATGTCGGTAACGGAGGGAATGAAATATGCAGCACTTTTTGGGCAATAAATCCAAACAGTGATAACTCTTGGTTCTCACTTACATATCCTTAACAAACTGGTTTGAATATTTGCTTCATATAGTTTTCTACCATATGGTACAAGATTAGGTTGAAAAACCTCTTACTTTTTGACTCATGAGATTTTTTATTAAGAAAGGTTCATGGTAACGGAGGGAAAAGTAACGGAGGGAAAATTGTGCAAGTAGAAGGTGCAGGATTTTACATCATTTGTCGCTTTTTTCTTCCCGAATACTTTAATATTACTTCAAAATGAAAGGAAACTATTTCTATAAAATATGTCAGTCCTTCCAAGCAAATTTTTATCATTTTAAATACATAAAAAAAAAAATCATGAACCTTCATCAACAGTTCAAAGATGGAATAACACAAGATATGATGAAATACATCCATTTATTTACATGATTTTTGGGTCTTTGAAATTTGGGAAATAATTTTTGTTCCATGTTTCATACATGGTCTGTTTAAAACATATGGAACTTTAGAACCAAAAATGGTTCAGAAAAAAGGTCAACAGTTTCATAAACTAGAGTACATATGTATCTGTTCAATACATTTTTATATCAGATGAATTAACTTGAATTTTTGGCCTTGTTGTTTACTTCTGCTTGACCAGGCCCAGTAGCAGCTACATTTTACCTTTTGTTCAGTAGAGATTTGCAGTTCCAGAGCTGAAATGATCCAAATGATTCTAGTGAAGATATATGGAGTCTAAAAACACAGTGGAGCACTTTCTAAATAACCACATGACATCACAAGGTGGAAAAGAGTGTTTCTGTTTGGTTTCAGAGAAAAACTCAGCCAATATCTGCAGAGTTTGTGAGTTAAACGTGTGTGAATGAAACAAAACACAACTCAACATTAGAACATCAGAAAATCAGATCAAAAAATGGTAAATTTCCCATAAATTTTTCCCTTAAACTTTCTGAAAAAGACTAAGATAAAACAGACCTATCCTGCAAAATTGATTTTTCTTTTTAGAGGTTTTAACCATGTTGTAGTTGTTCCCCCTCACTGGTTCCCCTCTGGAGTTGCACTGGGAGTGATTCATGCATGAGTAATCTTTAATCGCCTCCACCAGTTCACTCCCACTGCTCCCTACATCATTCTCCAATTTTGTTTTTTAAATTGTTGATACGCGTACGGTTCCCCAGCGCCGCGGAGTCATTTTGGTGTGACATGCAGCTCTCCGTTGGACACCACAGTTTTCTAACGCTTGTTTCTTTTTACATGAATATTGTGATTTAAAATGTCCAAATTATAACCTAAAAATCCACAAGTGTCGTGGATTATAACTACAGAGCAGAAACAAGCACAGTATGTCCTCTTCAAAGATCGAAAGATCAGGGTTAATCAGCACCTGGTAACTAATAACGACAATCTTAAATGCTTAGTTATTAAAACTGGTTTAGTCCTGGTTTAGTCCTGGTTTAGTCCTGGTTTAGTCCTGGTTTAGTCCTGGATTAGTCCTGGTTTAGTTAGTCCTGGTTTTAGTCCTGGTTAGTCCTGGTTTAGTCCTGATTAGTCCTGGTTTAGTCCTGGATTAGTCCTTGTGTTTTAAAGGGACAGTCCTGAATCACCCAAAGCAAATCTATTATTACTCCAGACTGTTGATGTAAATGTCTGTGTCGATAGAAAACCAGGACTAAACCAGGACTAAACCAGGACTAAACCAGGACTAAACCAGGACTAATCCAGGACTAAACCAGGACTAATCCAGGACTAAACCAGGACTAATCCAGGACTAAACCAGGACTAAACCAGGACTAATCCAGGACTAAACCAGGACTAATCCAGGACTAAACCAGGACTAAACCAGGACTAATCCAGGACTAATCCAGGACTAAACCAGGACTAAACCAGGACTAAACCAGGACTAACCAGGACTAACCAGGACTAAACCAGGACTAATCCAGGACTAACCAGGACTAAACCAGGACTAATCCAGGACTAATCCAGGACTAATCCAGGACTAAACCAGGACTAATCCAGGACTAACCAGGACTAATCCAGGACTAAACTAACAGGACTAAAGGACTAACCAGACTAATCCAGACCAGGACTAAATCCAGGACTAATCCAGACTAAAGGACTAATCCAGGACTAAACCAGGACTAAACCAGGACTAATCCAGGACTAACCAGGACTAAACCAGGACTAATCCAGGACTAAACCAGGACTAATCCAGGACTAAACAGGACTAAACCAGGACTAATCCAGGACTAATCCAGGACTAAACAGGACTAAACCAGGACTCCAGGACTAATCCAGGACTAAACCAGACTAACCAGGACTAAACCAGGACTAATCCAGGACTAAACCAGGACTAAACCAGGACTAAACCAGGACTAATCCAGGACTAATACAGGACTAATCCAGGACTAAACCAGGACTAAACCAGGACTAAACCAGGACTAACCAGGACTAAACCAGGACTAAACCAGGACTAAACCAGGACTAATCCAGACAGACTAAACCAGGACTAATCAGGACTAATCCAGGACTAATCCAGGACTAAACTAAACCAGGACTAATCCAGGACTAAAGGACCCAGGACTACCAGGACTAACCAGGACTAAACCAGGACTAAACCAGT